GGGATTAACGTCAAAAATGAGGAATTAAGACCTTTAACTAACCTCCCATGTCGATGAAATTCCTGCAGGAAATTCACAAAATCATCCTTCATTGTGCTCCATGCAAACTTTATAAAATTAAAATTGAAACCATCTGGTCCTGGTGCCTTCGATCCATCACAACTTCGAAGTCCCTCTTCAATTTCCTCTATTGTGAAAGGTTTTTCCAACCACTCCTTTTGTGTCATAGAAATTCTACGGAACTGAATCCCACCCAAGACAGGACGACGCCACTTTTCATCTCGAAACAGTTTGCTAAAATACTTAACTGCCTCCTCCTTGACTACATCTGGTTCCTCCACCCAACCATTCTCGCCTAAGATACCAGATATGCCATTCTGTGCTCTCCTTGCATGAACACTCCTATGAAAGAATGCTGTATTTGCATCTCCCAAACGAACCCAATTAGTCCGCGCCTTCTGCTTCCACACAGCTTCTCTTTTTCTTAAAATATCCCACATCCCCTGAAAACACTCCTTTCTCACTAGCACCTCATTCTCGTCCAACCCATCCTCCTCACTTTTTTTATCCAACCTCTCAACCTGCTTTACTAGGGTGTCAAATTGAGTCTCCACATTGCCAAACACCCCACTGTTCCACCCTTTACATTCCTCTTTTAAAAGCTTCAACTTCTGTTTACATTTGTATGAGGCCCAACCTTCAATTTGCATAGCCTTCCATCTATTCTCCACAAATTCTCGAAAATCTGGATGTTGTTGCCGTGCATCAAGTACTCGAAAAGGCTTGGGACCCCAATCCACATTTCTTGATGTCAAAATGATAGCACAGTGATCAGAAATTGATCTTCGAACACCAACTTGAGTCCAATCTCTATCCAACAAACTCATTTATGTGGAAAGCAAAAACCTGTCAAGCTTGCTCATTGAAGTTCCATCTGGTCTATACCAAGTGAATTTCCTATTCCGCAACCTAACATCAATTAACCCAGTTCCCTCCACAAAATGATTAAAATCTTCCATGTCCTGGGTTTCTCCTAATCTTCCCTTCCTCTCTGTGGCATTCCGAACTGTATTAAAATCCCCTGCCACAAGCCATCTACCACCCTCTTCCAAAATCAATCCACCAATCTCCTCCCACAACGAAGCCTTCCTCTGCCTATCACATGGAGCATAGACATTAACAAAATTGCATTTAATGTGCTAAGTTCCCCATTCACCAGAAATCCCGATAAAGCCATTTCCTTCTATCACCCTTTGTTTGACAAAATTCCTCTTATTCCATATTGACAACAAACCACCCGAACTACCCACTGATTTTCCCATAACCCAGTCAAAATCATCTGAATTCCACAACGTTTTACACAACGCAACATCCACTTCCTCTAATTTAGTTTCTTGAATAAATAGGAAATCTGGCCTCTCCTTTCTAACTAACTTGGCAATCTCCTTTCTCTTTAACATACTACCCAAACCTCTAACATTAAACGAAATTACTTTCATAAAGAAAAAACTAGACCTCACAAACCTCCATTCCGCCAGCACCCAAGCTTCAGGCCCCCCTGGAATTAACCTCGTCCCTCGCCTCCAAAGTTGCCAGCCGAGAGATCACCTCTTCATCGTTGTGTTGGCACTGAATCCCCAACCTTTGCCCCAACTCAAATATTTCCCTCACCTCTTTTGTCTCCAATTGACGCCGAATAATCCCATTTCTGTGTTGAATGCATCCGTCCGACACAGAGCAACTTTCCTGCTGCAGATTCGGCCTCTCCTCTTTTGGCGCTTCTGTCATCCTCCTGTCCCTTCTACTCTTTGTTCGGGCCGTAATCCAACTCGCGCCCCTTTTCATCGTTTCATCCGCTCCAGCCCCCCTGCATAAATTTCCCTTAGGGTCCTGCGTTTTTTCCCCGTCAACGCCATCTGTTGCAGCTGTGTAGAAGATGCTTGGGATTTAAAGATGGACCCGCAACCAGGCTGTGCTTCCTCCAGCCCAATTCCATTTCCAACAACTCCCGGCCCAACCTGGTTCCCCTTATCCAGCTCAATTTCGTCTAGCCCATTTAGGCCAACAAACCCAGCCGTTTCTTCTCCCTGCGATTCTGCTTGTCTACTCAACTCTTTGTATAAAACCAAATCCGTTACAGCATGATCTTCGGCCGACTCACCGCCATCTCCGCATAGAAATCCGTTTCCATTGAAGTTCAAATTCAAATCACTGTAACCGTCATCACCTTCTTCATTGTCGCTGCTGGAATATTCCGAACTGGGTTGAGTGGCCGGATTTCAATGTTCTCCGGCCAACCACCAGTCCGGATCCATCCTCCACTCCTCCTCTGACACTGATATTGGGAAATCCTCGCCATCAACTCGCAAACAAATGGTTGTTGATATTTTCCTCTTTTCTGCACTCAAAATCAACACCCTTCCTTCGCATAAAAACGATTTACTCCTTGTATCCTCATCAACAAGAATCACCTCTCCAATTATGTTCCCTAATTCAGTGAAGCATCTCTCGCTCCATGCCTTCAACGGAACACCATTAAGCCGAAGCCATACCAATCTACACAATGAAGAAACTGTGGATAAAGAACATGGCTTTATCCACTCAAACCACAATTCAACCAAATCTCTACTTCGGTTAAGGAACTCCTCCAGGCCACCTTTCGAATTATCCACTAAAATGATTTGTCGACCACCAAGCAAAGCAACATTCACCAGTACTCCCTCCACATCCAAGCTATTTTGGATTCGCTTCACCAAATCCAAAGATCGCACCTCCGCCACCATACTGCGTTTCAGCCATGCCACATCCTCATCCTTAGGGATAAAGTTTAAAACCTGCACCGTTTCTGGCCCAGAAACCTTATCCTGTGATGTCTTCGGCGTCACCTTCCATTCCTCCTCCCCCGCATCCTCCATAGCCTCCTTTCCTTTCTTTGCAACACCTTGCTGTACTCCATTAGTGGATGACTGCCCTTGCTCAAGGGAGCCCATATCTCCAGCAACGACCTGAGCATAAGTTTTCCCTTGAGTCACCTTACTGTCTCTTCTAATCCATTGTTTCTCCAATTGCTTGTGCTTACCCAACAAAATCCCCTCCCTTCCTTTTTTCATATTCTCAACGAGCTTCACCTTGAGATGATAAGAGTGTATCTTAATCTGGTTCAATTTCCTTTCCATCTCCCTAACATTTGAGACATTCAACATACGAACAAAACCAAACCGGTGGCCTCTTCTGTCACGCTTCGCTGGAATATACACATCGGCCAGCTTCCCAAATGACTAGAAACAATACCACAAATCCTTTGCTGACTGATCCGCTGGAAAATCATAGAAAAAATACGAAGTTGCTTGCCCAAGATACTGCTTGCCATACCGTGGAAGCTGCCTCCTGATCCCACTACCACTGTCCTTGGCTGTCGGAAACCTTGCCCTAACCCTAGCACTGTCTCTCTCTAACTCTCTCATTCTCTCATTCTCTCTCATTCTCACTATGACGACGACATTTTTGTCTGACCATATGAGAAATGCGTCGGTATTGTCGGATGTAGGGGTTTTCTTTCTCGACTAAAGTGATGAAATATCAAAGTCAGATGAGTTACCTTCCGTCCTGCTGTATACACAAACCCTTGTGGAATTGTCATATCAACAACGGACGAGGTTAAGAAATGGGGATGACGCATGACAGTTTTTAATCGCGTAATATCGGCCTACCGAAGGTATTTGCTACAATTGGCGAAGATTTTCTTTATTAAAATTGATAGTCCCACAAAATTTAATTGGTTTTGAAATTGTGACGCATCTTATCTTTATATTATTTTAAAAAAAATTTTGACAACTTAGAAAAAAAAAAAAAGCAAGAAAGAAATACTTGAAAAGTCGTGTGATGCACGATTGTTTATATAGATATATATTTGGTAAAAATGCACGATTCTTAATTGCTCTGCCACAGTTGGCAGTTGCGGTCATTGAATGTCATCAAAAAAGCCAACCAACAAACTTTGATAACCTATAGAAAAAGTAAGTAAAATGAATGGACTAACCTCAGATTTTTTTATTTTTTATTTTTCTTTTCCAGTTGCAGACCGACCGTTTCTTTTGATTGCCAGGCAAGTTTCGACATAAAAAAAGCCAACCAACAAACTTTGATAATCTATAGAAAAAGTAAATAAAATGAATGGACTAACCTCAGATTTATTTATTTATTTTTTCTTTTCCAGTTGCAGACCGGCCGTTTCTTTTGATTGCTAGGCAAGTTTCTAACCAAAGTCCACAAGTCACTGTTATAGACTTTTTTCTAGTTGCATACCTCGTGATATCTCAATGTTTTCAATTTTTACCTTCCCGCAACTGCTGTATTTTCCCTCAAGGGTCAAAGGAGTTGGGGAGTACTCAACAGGAGTTTCCCTTTGAAAACTGGGGAGGTGGAGCCATACTATCGACTGGAATTGTTGGTGTCTTGGGTCTTGGGTCTCATGACTACCACTTCTAGGGTTCCATCAGACCGAAAATTGGGAGAGAACAGCCGAGGATCGACAGGTCCAGGCAGATTAAAAGAAATAGTGAATGGCCCAGGAGGATTTCTTTGCTGAAATTTCATCTGGTATATTGTTGATGAGCTTTTCAGTAGTCCTAGTTCATTTGGTACCACGCCTTCTATGTGAACCCTTCCATCCCGTTGGATCTCACATTTCAGATTACCTGTCAGGATAAGCATTAAAT